ATATATGTGTGTTTATTTTATAGGGTTGGATGCAGAAGAAGCGGAGGAATGAGATTTACGATGAACGGTAGGAACTATTTCGAGCTTGTTCTGGTCTCAAACGTAGGAGGAGTTGGTGAGATCTCTAAAGTTTGGATCAAAGGCTCTAAAAGCAACAAATGGGAAACAATGTCAAGGAATTGGGGAGTTAATTGGCAAAGCAACACTTACCTTAATGGTCAATCTCTATCTTTCAAAGTTCAACTAAGTGATGGAAGCATCAAAGCAGCTCTCAACGTTGTTCCTTCCAATTGGCAGTTTGGTCAGAGCTTCAAGAGCAACATCAACTTCTGATATCAAATAATAACCGACCAAATACCGGGTTTATGTTTTTTCTCCATCATTTGTATCTACTTGTATTGGGGTTTTTTTTTTTTTGTTTTCTCTGTTGCATCATCATCGTCTGCGATAAGCTGCTAGTTTTGTAGCTGTATTATATAGTCTTGCTTCCAGAGAGTATATAATCTGGAGAAGACTCAAGCAGTGATGATTGTATTTGTACATTTAAACAAGATAAATGTATACTATCAATGAAAGTTAACTTAAGTTTATAATCTTGAATAATTCATCTTCGTTATCGCCTAAATATTCGATCTCAACCTGATTCGAATCTCCTTGCGAATGTAAATCTGATTTGAATCGTGGGTAAAACAGAGCACTATTTGTTCTTGACCATGAAAAACTGAGCACTCTGCTTTTAAGTAAAAAAGAAAACAGAGCACTATATGTTCTTGACCACGAAATATTCGAGTAATCTGCTTCCGAAACAGAGCACTCTATATATAAGTAAGAAGAAAACAGAGCAATATGTTTCTATATATTCAAAATATACATGTGAGAACAATGTGTATGTAAAGACAATTACAGAAGCTTTCAAAATTAACCAAAAACAAAAAAAAAGGGTTTATTATATCTAATATCTAATCGCGAGAGAAGTAGAACAACTACTTCAACTTGGGGATTTAAGAGAAAAAAGAAAACTCAAAGATCATGAATAACACCTTCAATGACTTTCTGTGCTGCATCTCGAATACTCAAAAGATTTGTTTTTATCTCGTTGCATAATCTTCCTTCGACTAGTCTAACCGGTAACCACATCTTCGGTTTTACATCTACCGTGTATGCAAGCGTCGTACGAAAATCTTTAAACTGTAAATCCAATACTTCCCCTTGAATCCCTTTATCGAGCTGCGATAAGAAAACAAAACACAGATCGGAATTAAAAAAAAAACAACTCGGAGGTAAAGAAATGATGAATTTAATGCGATTTTCGTATGATGTTTTACTTGTTCGATCGACCATTTTCCTTCAAACAGTTGGAAATCGCCTTCGACCATCTTGAAGTCGATATCACGTCTCCTCCCGTGCGGTAGAATCTCGAGCTCTTTCTCGTAACAATCTAGAACAGCTTTAGCATTGAATTTAAGACCCAATGCTAAATTCTGTTGTCCCATCTTTTGAAACACAACCACAAAAACAGAGGAATGAGACTGCGAAAACTCACTCAATACCGTAAAATTCGAACATTATGAACAAACAAAACACTACTAAAGGTTCACATTATTAGTATCAAAGTCTCCAAATTCAAATCCAACCAAGAACCAATATGAGTTAACTCCATTAACTTGTAACCAAGCAAGGTTTCACCATTTTCAACAAGAACATGGCAGATTCAAGCTTTAGTAACCGCAGATTCGAGCAATACCTGGAAAAGACGAACACGATTGCCTTCCTTCTCGACCAATTCGCTAACGACAAGGCCAGGAATGAAATCAGATAACTTCTCGTAATCAGTCAATACGTTCCAAACCGAATCGAGACTCGCTTCCATTCCAATCTTCGATCGGATTCGCCGCGAGCTTTTCTCGAGCTTCTTCACTTCGATGAGAACCCCATCGTCGCCTATAAAACCATCTGTTAAACAATCAACCAAATAATCATCTTCATCGATTTCAGTTTCGTCGTCGTTACAATAATCATCATCGTCGCTCGAAATGAACCGTGGAGAACCGTCGCCGAATCGGCAAGAGAAACATCTACG